TTTACAAAGACTTTCAGGAGTAAATTGGTGCAATTTTGATGAGTAAAACATCCAAAATTATGTAGATTGCATCTCTTTCATAAACTTTCATGAGCAAATTGGTGCAACTTTGATTTGTGTTGAATACAACATTGTATAGGTAGGTTACATGTCTCAACTAAGCATTCACGAGTAAGTTGATGATGCAAGCACAAGTATGCAGGTCTTATCTCCCACCTCAGCTTTGTAAAAGCAACATTGATGTGTAAAGTATGCAATAGTATGTAAGTTACATCTGTCACTTTAGCCAGTCAGATCATTTCTGAAGAGTGTTGTGGTTTGTTGTCTTCTTGGACTCTCGTGTTGCAGTGGAACTAGCAGACATTTGCATTAACATGGAGTCTATCATTCTTGTCCCACTCGTTTCATGACATGTTGTTTAGCTAGGACAGATTTCACTAGTCAATCAACAGTAAAATAAAGCTCATGAAATGTGTTTTTTCCTCACATATTGCATACAGCTAGCTTCTGTTCCCACATACTGTATACAGAACCTGTTTGTACCCACCAATTGTATACATCATTTGACTGTACCCAATCACTGTATACAGATTTGACTATACCCACCTAACTGTTTACATAATTTGACTATACCCACATAGTATTTACAAATTTGACTGTACCCACACAATTTTTACATAATTTTACTGTACCCACATACTGTATACAAATTTGACTGTACCCACATACTATAAACAAATTTGACTGTACCCACACAATTTTTACATAATTTGACTGTACCCACACCATGTTGACATAATTTGACTGTAACCACACCATGTTGACATAATTTGACTGTACCCACATACTGTATACAGCATTTTGTCTGTACCCACATATCGTATGAGACAAGAGGATTGACATACAATCTGTGATTATGGTGATCTTGTGAGACAAGAACAATGACATGATCTATGATTATGGTAATCACACGGGATTGCCTACGCTTATCGACAGGACACATGATGATGGTGGCATGTTTATACAGACTTATATTCCTTGTGTACATGCGCCATCATATATAACCTGGGCTTATTTCGCCAGAATTTCAACCAAATCCCCAAATCGCATTTAGTACCTCTCCCGGATTCAGTTTTCGAGCGGATGCGGCATCCCTGAAAGAACTGGACAGCTCCGCAGGAGCTCTTCAGGAAGTGGAAAGAGTTCGCTCTGTCTTCCCAGAAACCTTTATCTGGACCGATGTCTCCAACGGGTATTTCATCATTCAGCTCTAGACAGTTCTAGTTTTTCTAACTTTTTCTACTTTCTCCCCAACTCGTTTCCTCTAAACCCAGTGGACTCCAACTCTTTTCATGCCCCCCCCCCCCCAACCCCCATTGATTATAGGGTTAGGCGCCCCCTCCCCCACACCTCCAAAATTAGACACAATTTTATTGATTAAGTCAGTTGCGTATCCTTTAAAGGACGTTGCAGAACCAACCCAACAGCCCCTGGCTGTTGTGAGATTATTCTAGGCAAATTGACGTCCAGTAGTTTTATTGATAATAGGAGGACAAAAAGACAAATCCTAAGCAATGTTAAAGAGACCTTCAAGAAAAACATCCAATCGATGTGCCAAGTAACAAATTACCAACAACTGGTAATTTAGTGCCCATATATCAATGTGATGGGTGACGATATCGGCTATTTTTGGGTTTGATGTTGGGCAAGGCGTAACTAATATCACTCTCCACATCAAGCTGACAGCGGGGATTTTGTTTTCATGACTGTTAACTCCTTGAGTCCCACAGGGTTTAGCATCACAGGCCCAAGGATAGGTCAAAAGAGACATAAAATTGGTGCATCATGCGTTCATTAGGTTTCTAAGTAGGAGCCTATGAACGTATGATGCGTTGCTTGGGACTCAAAGAGTTAAAGCTAAAGATGCAGATTATTACACGTATTGATGAACTCAATTTCAAAATTGCTTCCCCCGCCACCCCCTCCCCCATACTTTCTGGCATCCCTTCAGGGGCATGCCCCTCTCCCCCCCCCCCCCCCCAACCAAGTTGGAGACCACTGCCCTAACCTACAATGTTGGTGTGTGGAAGTGTCCAACACTCAAATATAGCTCTTTTTTTTTTCTTTTTGGGATGGTAGTTGATATTTATCTTTGCTATGGTCGAGTAGGTTTTCCATAGAATTTGCTTGCTCACTAACTACGCTGCTAACTTTTGGTGGATTTGGTTTAGTGAAGAGACTTGTTGGTGGGTAACTCTAGTCCTGAATTTGGTAGTTGTTAGTAACTTCTGTTGTGTGGGTTTTATTTACATGGCCATGTTCATGTGAGGGGACAGAGTTGGTTGTGTTAAATGTGGGGGTTAGTACAGATGTGTGGGTTGTGTCAGATGTGAGAGTTGTATACGATATGTTAGGGGTGGGTCAGATATGTGTGGGTTGTGTCAGATATGTGTGGGTTGTGTCAGGTATGTGTGGGTTGTGTCAGATATGTGTGGGTTGTGTCAGATATGTGTGGGTTGTGTCAGATATGTGCGGGTTGTGTCAGATATGTGTGGGTTGTGTCAGATATGTGTGGGTTGTGTCAGATATGTGTGGGTTGTGTCAGATATGTGTGGGTTGTGTCAGATATGTGTGGGTTGTGTCAGATATGTGTGGGTTGTGTCAGATATGTGTGGGTTGTATCAGCTAGTAAGAACGTGGGGTTTTGATGTCAGTAGAAACATGTGGTTGTGATGTCAGTGAATGTGGTGATAGTAAGAACGTGGGGATTTGATGTCGGTGGAAACATGTGGTTGTGATGTCAAAACATGTTGTTGTGGTGATAGTGAGTGCGTGTGGATTTGATGTCAGTCAGAAAATGTGGGTGTGATATCAGTGATTGTGGTTTAGTGAAAACTTGGGGAATAGATGATAGCAAGAACATGTGAGAGTGATGTCAGTGATTGTGATGTTAGTGAGAACGTTGGGAATAGATGTCAGTGAGAACATGTGAGAGTGATGTCAGTGATTGTGATGTTAGTTAGAACGTTGGGAATAGATGCCAGTGAGAACATGTGAGTGTGCTGTCAGTGATTGTGATGTTAGTGAGAACGTTGGGAATAGATGTCATTGAGAACATGTGAGTGTGATGTCAGTGATTGTGGTGTTAGTGAGAACGTTGGGAATAGATGTCAGTGATTGTGGTGTTAGTGAGAACGTTGGGAATAGATGTCAGTGATTGTGGTGTTAGTGAAAACGTTGGGAATAGATGTCAGTGAGAACATGTGAGTGTGCTGTCAGTGATTGTGATGTTAGTGAGAACGTTGGGAATAGATGTCAGTGATTGTGATGTTAGTGAGAACGTTGGGAATAGATGTCAGTGATAACATGAGGATGTTTACCTGCAACAAAAACCCTAACTTGTGCAGCAAGCAAGCGATCACGTGATTTCCTTGTGCCCCCTCTAGATCCATACTACGATCCATATTACTACACAAGACATGGCTACTATGAAGACTCTAACTACTATGAATACTATGAGCCTCGATATGGCTACTATGGGGAGTATCACGCGTTGAATTCGTATGCGTATGATATTCAGCTGCAGACTGTAGAACGTGTGAGACATATTTTCCCTGAGGTCTGGATCTTTGAAGACGCTTTGACCTGGTATGTTCGTTGCTGGCTTTCAACCATGTTCCTCCTGATAGTCTGACTGCTTTCTTTCATTTATTTCTGCCTTTCCCGAGATTTGTACTTGGCTAATGCTCATATGAATTGTTTTTATGCGAAGCTGTTTTATCTCCACACACAGTGTCAGTTCCTATTTTCATTTGCCATGGTAACATTTTTGTGTTTATTATTTTTCAGTTGCTTTTTTTATTCTTGGCTTTGACCATACACAGTTTGCCAGTTTGTGTCTCCCATTTGCAAACTGGCACACTGGAATGCTCATTTTAGTGTCTCACAGAAACAGCAGGCATTCTATCAGATTATCTTTTCTTTAGATAATTGACTTCAGTGTACTTACCTTTATATTCCAGTTCGAAAGGTAACTGCCTTTTTAGTAATAGCTGTACTGTCAATAAGATGTCTTGTTACAGTGAAATTTCCTGCCATCAGTGATACAGTAGCCTAGTTGATGACTAAAATATGTTAATGTCATTTGTTTGCTGATATTGGGTATATGTTCAAGTTGGTTAGTGTTCGGAAAAAGCAAGTCTGCGTGTCAGTTAGAAGATGTGTGGATGTGATCTCAAAGCATGTGGTTGTGGTGACAATGACAGCGTCAGGATGTGATCTCAGTGAAAACAAGTGGATGTTTTAGCAGATTCTGTGGTTGTGTTGAAAATGAGATCGTGGGGATGTGATGTCAATGAGAACAACTGGGTGTGATGGCAGATTCTGTGGTTGTGTTGATAATGAGATCGTGGGGATGTGATGTCAATGAGAACAACTGGGTGTGATGCATATTCTGGTTTTGTGTTGATAATGAGATCGTGGGGATGTGATGTCAATGAGAACAACTGGGTGTGATGGCAGATTCTGTGGTTGTGTTGAAAATGAGATCGTGGGGATGTGATGTCAATGAGAACAACTGGGTGTGATGGCAGATTCTGTGGTTGTGTTGAAAATGAGATCGTGGGGATGTGATGTCAATGAGAACAACTGGGTGTGATGCAGATTCTGGGATTGTGTTGAAAATGAGATCGTAGGGATGTGATGTCAATGAGAACAACTGGGTGTGATGGCAGATTCTGTGGTTGTGTTGAAAATGAGATCGTGGGGATGTGATGTCAATAAGAACAATTGGGTGTGATGGCAGATTCTGGGGTTGTGTTGATAATGAGATCTTGGGGATGTGATGTCAATGAAATCAACGGGGTGTGATGGCAGCGTGGCGATTGTCGTCAGTAAAAAAAAGTTGACGTTACTTGCAAGAAAACAGCAACCAACATGTGCAGCAGGCAGACGATCATGTAATTTCCTTCACCCCCCCCCCCGCCCCTTTTACTTTCTAGACGTAGACTACTATGGATACGGCTACTATGATCCTGACAATTATGACTATAACTACTATGGGCGATACAACTACTACAATTCCTATGGGTATGCGTATGATGTACAGCTGCAAACTGTAGAACGTGTGAGACATATTTTCCCAGAGGTCTGGATCTTCGAAGACGCTTTGGTCTGGTACGTCCGAGGCTGGCTTTCAACCGCGTCCCCCCCCCCCCCCCTGGTGGTTCTTTCAGTTATTTCAGGCCTTTCCAGAGATTTGTACTTTGCAATTGCTTATATAAATTGTGTTACGCTAAGCTGCTTTATCTCCATACACAGTGTCAGTTTCTATTTTCATTTACCATGGTAACATTTTAATGTTTAGTATTTTTCAGTGGCTTTTTCATTTTTGGCTTTGACCATACACAGGTTGCCAGTTTGTGTCCTCCAGTTGCAAACTGGCACACTGGAATGCTCTTTTTTTTTATGTCTAGCGAAAACAGCTGTCATTCATATTATCTTTTCTTTAGGTAACTGACTTCAGTGTACATACCTTAATATTCCAGTTCGAAAGGTAACTGCCTTTTTAGTAATAGCTGTACTGTCAGTAAGCTGTCTTGTTACAGTGAAATTTCATGCCATCAGTGATACAGTAGCCTAGGTGATGACTAAAATATGTTAATGTCATTAGTTTGCTGATATTGGGTATATGTTCAAGTTGGTTAGTGTTCGGAAAAAGCAAGTCTGCGTGTCAGTGAGAAGATGTCGATTTGATCTTAGAGCATGTGGTTTTGATGACAGTGACAGCGTCAGGATGCGATGTCAGTGAGAACAAGTGGATGTGATAGCAGATTCTGTGGTTGTGTTAATAGTGAGAGCGTGGGATGCGATGTCAATGAGAACAGCTCGGTGTGATGGCAGATTCTGTGTGTGTTTTGATAATGAGATCGTGGGTATGTCAATGAGAACAACTGGGTGTGATGGCAGATTCTGGGGTTGTTTTGATAATGAGGCTTTATGGACGTAATGTCAATGAGAACAACTGGGTGTGATGGCAGATTCTGTGGTTGTGTTGATAATGAGATTGTATGGAGGTGATGTCAATGAGAACAGCTGGTGTGATGGCAGATTCTGTGTGTGTTCTGATAAGATCCTGGAAATGTGATGTCAATAAGAAAAGCTGGGTGTGATGGCAGATTCTGGAGTTGTGTTGATAATGAGATTGTATGGATGTAATGTCAATGAGAACAGCTGGGTGTGATGGCAGATTCTGGAGTTGTGTTGATAATGAGATTGTATGGATGTGATGTCAATAAGAAAAGCTGGGTGTGATGGCAGATTCTGGGGTTGTGTTGATAGTGAGATTGTATGGATGTGATGTCAATGAGAACAGCTGGGTGTGATGGCAGATTCTGGGTGTGTTTTGATAATGAGATTGTATGAATGTGATGTCAATGAGAACAACTGGGTGTGATGGCAGATTCTGGAGTTGTGTTGATAATGAGATTGTATGGATGTGATGTCAATGAGAACAACTGGGTGTGATGGCAGATTCTGGGGTTGTGTAATTTGTGACTGCTTGGGGATTGTCGTAAATGAGAAAAAGTTGACGTTACTTGCAGACGATTATGTAATTTCCTTTACCCCCCCCCCACCCCCCTCCACCCCCTTTTCCTTTTTAGATCCATACTACTATAGATATCGCTACTATGATTCCTACTATGATTCCTACTATTATGACTATAACTACTATGGGCAAAACAACTACTACAATTCGTATGGGTATGCGTATGATGTTCAGCTGCAAACTGTAGAACGTGTGAGAAACATTTTCCCGGAGGTCTGGATCTTTGAAGACGCTTTGGTCTGGTACGTCCGTGACTGGCTTCCAACCGGGGTTCCCCCAATGGCCTGGCTGCTTTCAGTTCGGTCAACATTTCTCCTGAGATACCTCAGCCAATGCTCATATGATTTGTTGTTATGCTAAGCAGCTTTATCTCCGTCTATATTGCCAGTTGGTGTTTTCATTTGCTGTGGTAATATTTTAATGTTTAGTATGTTTCAGCTGCTTTTTTATTTTTTGCTCTGACCATACACAAGTTGCCAGTTTGTGTCCTTAATTTGCAAACTGGCACACTGGGATATTCATTTCTTGTATCTAAAACAACTGCAGGCATTTTATCAGATTGTTTTATCTTTAAATAACTGACTTCAATATAGATACTTTATTTACAGCCCAGTTAAAAAGATTTTATTTGTTTAGTATCAGATGTATTGTTATTAAGATTTCTTGTTACTGTGAAATGTCCTAACATCAAAGACACAAGGACCTATAATGTTAACGTCATTAGTTTACTAACAATGGTTATACACAAAAGTTACTTGGCGTTATGAAGATTCAAGTCAACGAATGTCATATCACCACAGAGACAATAATACCAGAAGAGAGCAGCGAACACTGACAACCATCTCTTCTTGTTTGTTTGTAGTCTGTGAGAACAGACAGCACTGTCAACTATCTCATCTTGTATACTTGTAGTCTGTGAGAACAGAGAGCACTGTCAACTATCTCATCTTGNTGGTTGTGTTAATAGTGAGAGCGTGGGATGCGATGTCAATGGGAGAACAGCTCGGTGTGATTGCAGATTCTGTGGTGTTTTGATAATGAGATAGTGGGTATGTCAATGAGAACAACTGGGTGTGATGGCAGATTCTGGGGTTGTTTTTGATAATGAGGCTTTATGGACGTAATGTCAATGAGAACAAACTGGGTGTGATGGCAGATTCTGTGGTTGTGTTGATAAGGAGATTGTATGGAGGTGATGTCAATGAGAACAGCTGGTGTGATGGCAGATTCTGTGTGTGTTCTGATAAGATTCCTGGAAATGTGATGTCAATAAGAAAAGCTGGGTGTGATGGCAGATTCTGGAGTTGTGTTGATAATGAATTGTAGGGATGTAATGTCAATGAGAACAGCTGGTGTGATGCAGATTCTGGAGTTGTGTTGATAATGAGATTGTATGGATGTGATGTCAATAAGAAAAGCTGGGTGTGATGAGCAGATTTCTGGGGTTGTGTTGATAGTGAGATTGTATGGATGGTGATGTCAAATTAGAACAGCTGGGGTGATGGGCAGATTCTGGGTGTGTTTGATAATGAGATTGTATGAATGTGATGTCAATGAGAACAACTGGGGTGTGATGGCAGCAGATTCTGGAGTTGTGCTTGATAATGAGATTGTATGGATGTGATGTCAATGAGAACAACTGGGTGTGATGGCAGATTTCTGGGGTTGTGTAATTTGTGACTGCTTGGGGATTGTCGTAAATGAGGAAAAAGTTGACGTTACTTGCAGACGATTATGTAATTTCCTTTAACCCCCCCCCCCCACCCCCCTCACCCCTTTTCCTTTTTAGATCCATACTACTATAGATATCGCTACTATGATTCCCTACTATGATTCCTACTATTATGACTATAACTACTATGCAAAAAAAAAAAAAACAACTACTACAATTCGTATGGGTATGCGTATGATGTTCAGCTGCAAACTGTAGAACGTGTGAGAAACATTTCCCGGAGGTCTGGATCTTTGAAGACGCTTTGGTCTGGTACGTCCGTGACTGGCTTCCAACCGGGGTTCCCCCAATGGCCTGGCTGCTTTCAGTTCGGTCAACATTTCTCCTGAGATACCTCAGCCAATGCTCATATGATTTGTTGTTATGCTAAGCAGCTTTATCTCCGTCTATATTGCCAGTTGGTGTTTTCATTTGCCTGTGGTAATATTTTAATGTTTAGTATGTTTCAGACTGCTTTTTTATTTTTTGCTCTGACCATACACAAGTTGCCAGTTTGTGTCCTTAATTTGCAAACTGGCACACTGGGGATATTCATTTCTTGTATCTAAAACAACTGCAGGCATTTTATCAGATTGTTTTATCTTTAAATAACTGACTTCAATATAGATACTTATTTACAGACCCAGTTAAAAAGATTTTATTCTTTTTTTTTTTTTTTTTTTTTTTTTTTTTTTTTTTTTTTTTTCTTTTTTTTTTTTTTTTTTTTTTTTTTTTTGTTTAGTATCATGGATGTATTGTTATTAAGATTTCTTGTTACTGTGAAATGTCCTAACATCAAAGACACAAGGACCTATAATTGTTAACGTCATTAGTTACTAACAATGGTTATTTACACAAAAGTTACTTGGCGTTATGAAGATTCAAGTCAAACGAATGTCATATTCACCACAGAGGACAATAATACCAGAAAGAGAGCAGCGAACACTGACAACCATCTCTTCTTGTTTGTTTGTAGTCTGTGAGAACAGACAGCACTGTCAACTATCTCATCTTGTATACTTGTAGTCTGTGAGAACAGAGAGCACTGTCAACTATCTCATCTTGTCTCCTTGTAGTCTGTGAGAACAGACAGCACTGTCAACTATCTCATCTTGTATACTTGTAGTCTGTGAGAACAGACAGCACTGTCAACTATCTCATCTTGTATACTTGAAGTCTGTGAGAACAGACAGCACTATCAACTATCTCATCTTGTCTACTTGTAGTCTATGAGAACAGATAGCTCTCTCAACCATCTTATCTTGTATACTTGTAGTCTGTGAGAACAGACAGCACTGTCAACCATCTCATCTTGTCTACTTGTAGTCTGTGAGAACAGACAGCACTGTCAACCATCTTGTCTACTTGTAGTCTAGGAGAGCAGACACCACTGTCAATCATCTCATCTTGTATACTTGTAGTCTGTGAGAACAGAGAGCACTGTCAACTATCTCACCTTGTCTCCTTGTAGTCTGTGAGAACAGACAGCACTGTCAACTATCTCACCTTGTCTCCTTGTAGTCTGTGAGAACAGACAGCACTGTCAACTATCTCATCTTGTCTCCTTGTAGTCTGTGAGAACAGACAGCACTGTCAACTATCTCATCTTGTATACTTGTAGTCTGTGAGAACAGACAGCACTGTCAACTATCATCTTGTCTACTTGTAGTCTGTGAGAACAGACAGCACTGTCAACTATCTCATCTTGTCTCCTTGTAGTCTGTGAGAACAGACAGCACTGTCAACTATCTCATCTTGTCTACTTGTAGTCTGTGAGAACAGACAGCACTGTCAACTATCTCATCTTGTCACCTTGTAGTCTGTGAGAACAGACAGCACTGTCAACTATCTCATCTT